TAAATGCGGTGAATTTATTTAAAAAAACACAAGTTGCTTTATTATTTTTTTATTAAGACTAGTAAAGAAACTAAACTAAAAAAAACTACTAAACGTTCATTCTAATTTAGTCCATGGAAACTGCACGGTCTAAAGAATGAGTATTGGTACTAACAAATCCAAGTTCAGTAGCTCGTCTCATGAAATCTTAACGGCGCGTCATAATTTTTTAACTGATGAGGAATCGAGGACCACATTTTCAAAATATGAATAATAAGTAAATAACTTTACATTATCTATTAATGGATTTTAATATGCAGAAGAATTGTGCCAGATTTCGACATATTTTAGTCTACAAACATGTTTTACTTTAAATAAATCGTAGTTTCTCACATTTTTACACTATTTTTTGTCCGAAAAAATACGTAATATTTGCCGAAACCGATACCCTTTCTCTCCCCCACATGAGATTTAGTGAGATTCGGCTTGACCTCTTCCCCATTGAATTCCTTACGTAATCAATGGACTTCCCCTTTACTTTACTTTTTTTTTCAAGTATCAGTTAATAAATAATTAAATTAATCTCTGGTAAAAACTGATAAACTAATGTTTTTGTTTATAATTGTTTTAACCCAATTTTTGAATTCTCTTCTGTTTTAAATGTAATTTACCTTTGAATTCGCAACAGGTGGGATAAATTATTATAAGCCCTTATTGCCGTAATTGTCGTTTAATTGACATAAAATTGCCAAGTAAATTGGTAGATAAACCCCGCAATAAAATTAGCATGTTTCACTGGAAATATGCGCTCAGGTAATGTTTTTATCCAGTTAAAAAATTGAAAACATTATGTTTGCACCTTATGAATCAGTATAATGAAATTTTAGTAGTAATTTTATTTCTTGAAGAGTTGTAAAACTTTAGATTAATTTGCACAGGGTCATTCTCTAACTTGGAATAAATTCAATAAATGAAAAATATTTTTTGTTTTTTACGGAAATATGCTGGTACACGTCCATTAGTATTTTAAATTGGGCTCTTTTTGTTGTAAGACAATTAAAAAAAACAAATTTGGTACAGCATGTATCAATTTTGACGTAATTAATTAATAATAATAATGTAATCGCCATTTTTTTTATAGTAACCCTATTCCCTAATGTTTTTTCAGCTATCCTTAAAGAGTATACTTGAGAGTATAGAATGTTCAGGCATCGTTCAACGTCACGTCATATATTGTCGAACTCTCTCAATAACTTGCCAACCAGATGAAAGAGATTGGTGACGTCATTGTCATTACTGCATGTTCTTTTTAGTAATTGTCATTGTTATTTGATTTGGGGTTATAATTTTAAACAAAAGATGTTATCGTGGGGACTATTATAAAAAAGAAGAAAGAATTTATTGGGCAAGCCTACAGTAAGATTAGCCATGAGACATGACCTATGGACATGACTATCCGTAGACACTCAGTGTTTCTGTCTTCCGGCTTCATCAGTACGGGAGGAATCAGCAACGATGAACTAGCGATCCTAAAAAAAGAAAAAAGGGAAGCAAACGAGGCACAAGGCATCATTTGCAGCCCAGTTAGGCTGTACCTCACAAGTCGCAAGCTTTACCACCGAAAAACCGTGTGTTGGAATGCCTACGCTCCATTTGGAGCCTGGTTAGGGCAGTAGGTCACAATTCGCAAGCGTTACCACCGAAAAACCATGTGTTGGAATGCCTCCGCAGCGTTTTTTTCTTTTTTCAGGATTCATCGTTTCTGATTCCTCCCGTATTGATGAAGCCGGAAAGCAGAAACACTGAGTGTCTACGGGTACCTAGTCGCGTCTCATGGTTAATCTTACTGTAGGCTTACCTAATAAATTCTTTCTTCTTTGTTATAATTTTATTGACGGAAATCGACATTACCAAAGTAAAAATTTGATTGTTGTAAAACAAAATTCAATTTTTTTATTGTGAAAATGCCTCAGAGATTTAATCAAAATGAACAAAAGCTCATTGCCAAGCTTATAAATCATTTTTCTCGAGGAAGAGACGCTGGTAGTCTGGTAGAGGGCACTCTTGCCCATGGATAGGCAGTAAGTATACGATGCAAAGGTGTAACATTCTTATGTAAAATACAAATTAATAGCGTTTTTAAATAATATAGTGTGTTGCTGATGCTTTAGAAATAGGAATTTCAACAGTACAAAGTATTAGAATTAAAGGGATCGTAACTGATGAAGAGTTCAAGAAAAAATGAATAAATGCCGAAAAAACGGAATTCGCTCAATTAAAAATATAGGAATGTACTTAGAAAATTTTAAACAATATAAACTGATCTCAGACACACCCTAAAACTCATATTTGACAAATAATGATGACGTAACTGTGAACGATGGCTGAACAGTCTTTATATTAAGTTACGTATGTATGCCAAATTTCAAATATTTATTACTTTTGCAGGGTTGTTGTAGATTACTACGTGTGTAGTTTAATTGGCAAAATAAAACACTAACTCACCACAATAGGTACACCAAAAGTCTTTACTTTTGCACTGGACGGGCGGGCGTTTCGCTAACCATAAAAACGCGGTGTTTTGGTGTATTGAGGTGAATTAGTGTTTTATTTTTTTTGCTGTTGTAACACCAAATGTTCCGACCTCCAACTGTAATAGTTTAATTGGACCAAATTTTTAACCGCCAAATTTTGGTTACTTGGATGTTCAGCCGATTTGGGCTATTAATATTGGTAAACCATTTTTTTGGAGCATTGACAAATCCAATATGTTGTTTTGGAAAAGATCACCAACATACAGCTAAACTGTAATATGATGTAGAGAGCATATTCAATTTCTTTAGATTGTTCCCTGTAAATTGGAAATTTATTTATTATACAGGATCGCTGATATGTAACAGTCGATTATTAGCTAAAATAAACGAGGTACCGCAAGAAGTCAAATATAAATATTATAGGGTTTTTAAATGTCTATTCTCGAGTAATAAATTTTAAGTATACTGTCGATATACAGGGTGGTCCGATATGTATTCCGGAAACTTCGGCAGTACATTCTGCAGATAAAAATAAGTAAAAAAGTTCGTATAAATGTATGTCCTAAAATGCTTAGTTTCAGATATACAGGGTGTAGAAGTTTGATTTTTATTTCGATTTTTTCTAAATAATTTCTGAAATAACGTTAGTTATTCATTAATTTAATAAATAATTCATTAATTTTGATGTCAATATGACTCCTACTAATAGAGGGCGCCACCTACATGTGTTTTAACTCTTTTGGAGCGTAATAACTTGTCCGTACCTATAAAACTACCGAGCAAAAAAATGTACATCTCTGTGATTTTTTACGTAAAAATTATCTCTTTGTAAAAATCGTTACGAACAACCGTTCTTAAGATATTTAGAATGGAAATAGTAAATACATGTCACTATTCACGAAAAAAAAGCACGTTGAGTAAATAGTTATTTCACTGAAATAATAAATTTGGGAAATTTTTATTTTTTTAAATTAATCATAAATTTTTCTGTAAAAAATGATGATAAAACAGTTTCTGTTAAACATTTGGCACAAAAACATCTCAAATTTATGATTTGAGTCTAGTAACTATTTAGTCAACATGTTTAATTTATGTCAATGATGACAGGTCTATTCCAAATATCTCGAAAACCATTACTCGTAGTGGTTTTTACCAAGAGACCTTTTTAACGTAAAAAACATCGTAAATGTATATTTTTTACTCAGTAGTTTTATACAGGTACTGACGAAAAGGTATTACTCTTCAAACCAGTTAAGAAATATGTAGGTGGCGCCCTCTGTTAGTAGGAGTCATATTGACATCAAAATCAATATTGTCATGTTAAAATACTCCCAGACACCAATTTTCATCCAAATATTGACGTTACTTCAGAAATTATTTGGAATAAATGGAAATAAAAATGAAAGTTCTACACCCTGTATCTCCGAAACTAAGCATTTTAGGACATACATTTATACGAACTTTTTTACTTATTTTTATCTGCAGAATATGTTGCCAAAGTTTCCGGAATACAGTTCGCACCACCCTGTATATAGATATATTGTCGATCATAAAGTCGTGGGACCTCAAAGTTTTATTTTTTTAAACGGAACCCCCTATATATTATTGCATATTTCAGTTCTTCATTCAATTCTAAGGAAAAAAGAGATACACAAAATGTACCTGAAACTCACCGTTTCCGAGTTATTGACTTTCGAAAATATCAGTTAAACAATAATTCGATTTAATTAATTTCGATGGGTTCGGTTCCATTTAACGATGCCATTCTACGGGAACTGTGATAGTTAATAGTATTTAACATTAGTTCTCAAGTTAGCATTTATAAACGTATAAAAAAATGAGGTTAAATCAACTCTGGAAATTTCAATTTTTTCGTTTAACATTTCAAAATCAAAACTTCATAATTCGGAAATTGTTGAAATTAGGTACAATATGTGTATTACGATTAATGCTTAAAATTGAAGAAAGAATTAAAATATGCAATAATATACAGGGGTTTGCATTTAAAAAAATAAATTTTGATGTGCCACACCTTTATGACCGACCCTGTATGCTTAAATTTGTTACTAACTAATAAACATTTAAAAACCATATAACTATTGTATTTAACTTTTTGCGGTACCTTGTATATTTTACCTAATAATCGATCGTTCCCATTCATATCAGCGACCCCGTAGATAGTCAGTTAAATCACCCTGTATATTACTAATAATTTATGTAAAACTAATAAAACCGCATATAATTTTATTATGTACAGCATATCTATGCTTAGCTATTTGAAAAGTTAGTCTCAATATACCTGAACTTTTTTGTTTATTGAATCTTATTTGCATTCTTTAAAACGAGTTTGTTGATTGGCAGCATTAATCGGCGCGGCGTTAAAAACAGCAGTATCCTCTACATGAGTTTCTTTTTCTTGTAATAATGTTATTTTATTAATTAAATTGGATTTTATCGCTATTTTAACCTTTTTTTTTCTTTTTCCAGGTCGGACTGGTCTTCGGTTAATTTCCTCCCAATAAGGTAGGTAGTGGTCGGTGTAAATCAGGGTTGTACAAATGTTAATGTTTAATGTTATGGTTGTACAAATGTAGTAATTTTAATAATTAAATTTAATATATTTTCTTTAAATAAAAATTAGCATATCTATTTGGTTAAAAGACTATAATATAGATCATAGTGTAGTTCAGAGATAGTCATTTTTTTTCTTTTGTAAAAAAAATATATCGGTATACATAAATTAATCACCAATATAATTTACATTTACTACATTTGGTATCAAATAGAGGATTTTCGGTCAATTTCTTAAAACTAGACCGGGTGTTTTTCAAAACTGGTTCGCCCCTATGACTTTTTTATTTTTTCAGACAAAAAAAACGAGATTGGTATGATATGACATAAATTAGGATTGCTTGACAGTATTCAATTTTTTTCGGTCACTTCCTGTTTCACCGGAAATTACTACAACTTTTGATTTTTAAAGGGCACCCTCGGTATTTTTTATTCTATTCGATAGAAAATGATATTCTAAATAGACAAATAAATAAGTAGTAAAAATAAATAACTTAATATCATATGTCAACTTTTAATATTTTCGATTAAAAAAATCGTTTTTTAAATTTAAAGCTAGAGTGCCAAGGCTGTGTTAAAAACACCAGTTTTTAATCAACGAGCCTGGGAAAAATAGATTTGATCATCTAATGTTTTTCGTATTTTGTCCTGGCCGGTTAAAATATGCTTAAAGCTTCATTCAGAACCTCCCAATTAGTGGAATAAATTACTGGTTTCAATTAGAATAGACGTTTGTTCCTTTAATTTCAATGTAAGCATTCAGAACGTCACTCAAAAATTAGTTTTAGACATTTTTAATTAGTAGAAAAAGTTATCAAATTATTATTTAGCTTTTTCTACTAGATGTCTACTTTCGTCAAGAAAAATTGTGGTTAGAAATCAAAAGTTGATTTTTTTAGGACTCCGTACCCAAAGGGTAAAAACGGGAACCCTATTACTAAGACTTCGCTGTCCGTCCGTCCGTCCGTTGAAAAGTTAGTCTCATCAGGTCTATCTTATGAACCGTTATAGCTAGACAGTTGAAATTTTCACATATAATGTATGTATGTTGCCGCTATAAGAACAAATACTAAAAACAGAATTAAATAAACGTTTATAAATAAAAAAGTACTTTCACTAAACATTATCTTTTAAGTAAGAATTTTACATAGAATCTTTCAAGTCCTCGGTGGCCGCGTGGTTAAAATGTTAGGACTTTACGCTGCTATGACGTTGGAGCCGTAGTAAGGCAGGTTGGAATCCTAGTCAAGACGATTTTTTTAGTCGTTTTTAGGGTTCCGTACCCAAAGGGTAAAAACGGGAATTCTATTACTAAGACTTCGCTGTCCGTCCGTCCATCCGTCTGTCACAAAGGTCTATCTTATGAACCGTTATAGCTAGACAGTTGAAATTTTTACAGAAAATGTATCTATGTTGCCGCTATAAGAACAAAAACTAAAAACAGAATTAAATAAATGTTTATAAAAAGTACTTTCACTAAATATTATCTTTTAAGTAAGAATTTTACATAGAATCTTTCAAGTCCTCGGTGGCCGCGTGGTTAAAGCGTTAGGACTTTACGCTGCTATGACGTTGGAGTCGTAGTAAGGCAGGTTCGAATTCTAGTCAAGGCGACTTTTTTTAATCGTTTTTTTTTAATTTTTACATATTTATTTTTACTTTTTACATACCACCACTAATTTATTCCAACCACTAATTTATTCCACTAATTGCGAGGTTCTGAATGAAGCTTAAATCGTATGTTTAATCATATCTCAATTATTTCAGATCATTTTTTACAAATACATAATTTGTCGTTATGAACCGCATGTTACAATTTCGAACAAACCAAGAATAAACTATATGCGAAAATGTCAAAAGTTGGCATATGATATGTCCTTCTATTCAGAGTGAGGTAAGAAATATCGAGGGTGCCATTTAAAAATCAAAAGTTGTTTCAAAAGTCATTTCCGGTGAAACAGGAAGTGACCGAAAACAATTGTATACGTCAATAAAGCCTGATTTATGTCATATACTAACGTACCAAATCTCGTATTTTTATCTGAAGAAATAAAAGAGTTACAGGAGGTGAGCCACTTTTGAAAAACACCTGGTATACTACTGCAATAATTACTTAATATTTTGTTAATACACTGGATCCAACCCTGGTGTAAATACGTGAATTAAAGGTGTACACAATTATTTATCGCTTTCTTATTTAACCAACTGGTCAAGTGAAGGAGCGCCCGCAATAATACATGATTATTTGTTTTCTCTCGATTTTACGCTGTCTTTATGGAGATAGTGTAGGCAGTATATCACGTATTTAGTAGAAACTTTGTCATTAAATTGGTTGCTTATTATAGTCTATTTCAATTACTACTCTATTAGCAATAAAGACTTTAAGAGAATATGTGTTAAAACGATGAAAGGTTCAGAGGATTATTTTTCCTTAATAAAAATAAGACCTTTTGTAAATTGTTAAGTTACCGGTTTTCGCGAAACTCCTTTAAGAAATATTTTCTCGTTATTATTATGAGAGTTACCACAGCGACAAATCTAGATTATGGCCGTACTATTCTCACTAGTCGCATGACGTCATCCTCCGTGGGATAGTGTATTCACCGTGAATAACGTACATAATCCGATTATCTTAACTATCAATCGAGTACATATATCGATGTATTTTTTGTGTTTATATTTACGAGATTCGGGTATCTATTTGGATTTTATCTTGAAAATATTGAAACAGCTGCGCGTTTTAACAGATACGTATAAATACAGAGAAATTAGAAATATATTGGAATATGTTCTATTAACTCTAGATCTCCATTAATTAAAATTTAGCTGAACCTATTCTATAGTTATATTTTATGAAATTTTTGCTATTATACTGCGATATTTTCATATCTGTTGTGGTTTCCTGATTTCTAGACGACATTCTCCAGCTGTATCATTTCCATAGAATCTAATAACTTCGACACACTGAACTTTCCATATACTCGGTAGTGCATCGTTGTTCGAAACATAGGAAATCCCATGCAAGTTTTAAATTGTCCAAGTATGTATTGGCTCCCCTATTAATTATTCAGTTAAGTCGTATATAGGTTTGTTAAAGGTCTGCCTATGCTGAATACACATGCCAAATTTGAACAATTTTGAATAAGCGATTTTAAGTAATTTAAGAAAAACTGTATTTATTTTTAAAATAAAACTGAACATGGTAACAATGCAAAACCAAACCAAACCAAAACCAGTCAATACCTTAAGTTGTCAACCTATGATTTTATCATTGTCAAATGTAATTTGTACTGTCTACACTACAACATTATAGTACCTACGCTTAGTGTCCCTGAAATGTATTTTTGTAATTTAAAACTGGTTCGAATCAGGCAAAAGCCTACGTGTAGAAAATACAATTTGACATTGTGTCGTGATCCTGGATTGGACCACCGTCGTCACCAATCTTGTAGTCGCTGCCACCAAATGTTGTAGTTCTCTATTTGACTCGTATCACCACTTGTTGGGAATGTTATTCTTTATTTTTTTTATAATTAAATTCTTACTAAGTTGTTATTACTTTTTATTTTTAAACTTTTAATACAAAATATAAATTTAGCAGTATTACGTCTATGAAAAAATTTTATGAATGTCCCCGGTCCCTTCTGTGACCGTGCTTTTATGAGAATGCCCTCTCCGAAAATCCACGGGCGTACCTACTATTTCTTAATAATATTTTCAGGTAGGTTTGCAAAGGGACAAACATGACCATTTCTTAAGTAAATAGAAACCAGACATCGCGTCTGAAAGTAAACGAATTACAAAGGAAAACTAAAAATGATGCAACTTTTATGACTATTTCTTCCAAATTTCATCTTAAGGTAATGGTTCTGTTTATTTGCATCACCCATCTTTCTGAGAAGAATAATAATGTTGATGGTATTTTTCGTACCTTAAATTCTTTAGGCATAGCCGTAGAATAAGGGTAAAAATAATATTTTATACAATTTGTCGAATATACATATACATATAACCATATTAAATGTATGTTCACAACACCTCCCCCCTTAATGAGAGATTTCATGAGGTGAAAGTGATATGAAATCTCAAAACAAATGTTTATATAATTAATTAGTATAACTCAGATGGAAATGAATAAAAGTACATATATAAAAGTATTATACAAGTCTTAACTACTAATTATAACTAACTTACATTCTAACTTAACTAACATTTTTTTTTATAACTATTGCAGATTTAAAAATGTATCAAATGCGGAAATTATTTTTCTTTTAATGGTCGCCTTGATGGTACATACCCAATGGGTCTGCGCGAGGGCGCCTGTAAATTAACATTCTCTTCTTCGGAGTTTTCATAGTTACCTACATTTTCAGAGTTTTGGCTAATATTACGATTATAATGAGCAACATATCTATCACTATTTCTAGAAGATGGTTCCACAGACTGATTAACTCTAATGCATAAGTTTGGAATAATTCCGCAACAGGCTGTCTTGTTAGTACATTTTGTATACAATTTATAAATAATAAAAATAATAGCAAGAAGAGCTAAGATATAGGCAATTACAGATGCTGGAAATGTATAATTGTTTACAAGTTTCCTTTTTAGAATTTCATCACCTAACTTTTCAATATCTTCTAGCTTATGGCTCGCTACATTAAGTTCGGGGATGTGCTTTGTTAATTTCCTATAATGTTCGTTGAGAAATATTTCACTAATGTTTATTTTTTCTTCCTTTATCCTTTCGCAACAATTATCACTAATGTCGAATGGTGGAATAAAATCACTTGAAATATTGGACTGGACTGTATTTCCATGAGGGATTAGCATTGATGATGCGCTATAAGCTTTACATTGTTTACCTATAGTGACACTACCGCAATTTTTTAGTATTACATCTACGTGATTTTTTTTATTATTACATGATATCGTAAGAGTTTCTGGATGAGGAA